CTGGCACTGGGGTGTCCCGGCCCAGAAATGGGAACAGTACTCCATCTGAGGCCGAACCTGCGCCTTGTAAAGTAGCAGGCGTTGTGCCGGCATGAAATACTGTCTCGCTCTGCTGAGCACGCCAAGCTTTTTAGAGGCTATTTTGGCCTTATATTCCAAGTGACCACGAAACTGGACGTTACTCGATATGTCGACGCCGAGGATTCCGTTACTGGCTTAGGCAACAAGGGGAGTGCCTTGAAACTGAGAAGATACGATAAATGGGTTCTTTTTATTGGTAAACGCGCAAACTTGTGTCTTCTAAGGAATAAACTGGACTAGATTTAATCGCCCCCAATCCGAGACCTTAAAACTTGTCTTAAGTCGAGTCATTGCTGAACAATGACTCGACTTAAGACACAAGTTTTTCCGTTACTCGGCGACGTTTTCCCGAGAAATATTGGCACGGCCGGTGTATAGAGCATCAACAGTGCTGTCATCCGCATAGCAATGAATGTTACCAGTTTGCAACATATCATTGACATGCAGAAGAAACAGCGTTGGTGATAGCACAAAGCCTTGTGGAACACCAGTGCTAATCGGCTTGTAGTCGAAACATGTACCGTCTACAACGACGTTGATGTTCCGACCTGCAAGAAACTTCTTTTTAAGCATGCTCGTGTTTACATCCCGAGTCACCGAAGCCGCAGCCCAGGCTTGATAACAATCCTGCTCGCTGCGTAATGCAGTTTTACAGGAGCAACCAAACCAAGGCTGAGATCTGCCTCCGCTGGGTACCACATATGATGGAATAAATAGTTCCATTCCTTGTGGCACCATATCAGTTACAGAGTCAGCAACAGCGCTGAGATCATCCGGCGAAAAGCAAACCCGACCCCATGGGTAGGATGCAAAGAAAGACCGCATTCCGTCACAATCCGCCGACATGTAATGCCAAAAACGGCGGCAACCTGCAGAACGCAACTGCGAGGGGAGCGTGAGTAGCACCACACTCCGGATCAGATAATGGTCCAAAGAGCCGAGAGGGGCATCGACGGAATTCTGATATCCGTCCGGATGAGAGGTCAGCAGAAGGTCCAACAGGGAAGGTGTATCATCCTCCATATCTGGAATCCGCGTAGGCGAAGTAACCAGATGTGTCAGACCATATGCCAAGGCAAAGTCAAAAATAGATCTCCCCGCATGATCAGTTAAACGTGAACCAAGACATTTAGCGTGGTGAGTGTTAAAATCGCCAAGGATCACGATCTCTGCGGATGGGACCTGCTGTAGCAAGGCATCTGTAGCCATTTGGACGTGGTCAATGAGTCGGTCTGTTTCGGTATTACCGCTATGGGACCTATAGAGGCACCCGTATACGCGCGGATGGTCGTCGCTGTCTACGCGTAGCCAAAGGATGGACAGGTCCGAACCTTCAAGACTGCCAAGGTGTCGAGAACAGATGTCCTCTCTGACGTATACGCAAACTACAGCCCGAGGCACAAAGGAGTGCTCCAATTTGTACCAAGGACAGGAGAGATACGAAGTATCAGCCGGAGAGGAAACCTGCGTATCGGTCAAAAAGAGCAAGGCCGGCTTCGCCGTCTCGAGATGGTAGTGGAAGGCGTTTAGGCTCGAGTGAAGTCCCCTGATGTTGCAGAAATTCACAGATAGCGTGGCAGAGGTCGCCTTGATATTGTTGCTTAGTTTGCCTCAGCACCCACGCTCAGGAGTGGAGTAATATGGTCGTGGATGCTCAGCGAGGGATTTTACAGGGGTACTGGTACCCGCTTGGGGTAATCTTCCTTTTTTTCTTTTCTTTGTTTTAAAAAAAAACGTTACCCCCACACTAGGATTTTTTCCTGTGCCGTGGAGGCAGTTTACAAACATAATTTGCACAAGAACAAACGTCCAGACTCGGAACAATTATTTGTAGGCCATACAAATATTTGTTCCGTGCGGGATTCGAACCCGCAGCCCCCAGCGCTACAACTGATTGCTAAGCCACTGCGCCACGGAGCCGTCAGAGCTTCTGATTCACTCCGGTATTCTGTGAGGTCGTGGTACCAACCTGGCTCGAGCCGGCCCATACATGCTGCTGTTTTGCTGTTGCAAATGCTGCCGCGTGGCTCTACCACCGTTAAATGTTAATGTTGTTGTTAGGATGAGTCGCTCGCGTCCGTAGGCTTCGACCACCTAATCCTAGGCCTACCCTATACGTGTCCCCCGGGTGGTGCTAAACGAGCAACAAAGACGAAACGACAGACTCGATTCCTCGCCGTATGGTAGCGGCGTAAAATCTACCACCCCTTAGTTCGCACCATGAGCCAAGAAGAAAAAGAAATGGTCCCGAGTTCCCGGCGCCCCTTTAATGGGGCAGGGGTGCGAAGAATCTCCGGGAGAAAAACCGGCGACGAGGTTCGCCACCCGTCACGTCCTGTCTCCCGAGGGGGCGAAAAGTGGATTGCGGAGGCCCGTCTGGCTACGCTGAATGTATGTGGAGCAATGAATGATAAGATGGATGAAGTATGCGAAATGATGAATGATAGAGGAATAGATGTGTTATGTGTGAACGAGACGAAACGAAAGGGAAGAGATGTCACTCCACATGGCATGTATACCGCTTACTGGTCTGGAGTAGACGAGACCGAGAGGGCATGCCAGGGAGTCGGTGTCATCCTTTCAGAAAGAATAGGTCAATGTGTGAAAAAGTATGAAAGTGTTAGCCCAAGGCTGCTATGGATACGAATGAAAGTGGGCTTAAAGAAGTTGTTTGTGCTAGGGGTGTACGCCCCAGATATGTCTAAGCCCACTTATATCCGAGAGCAGTTTTGGGACATGGTAAGGCTGGTGTTGATGAAATGTAAGGAAAATGAAAATATTATTATGTTAGGAGATTTTAATGGAAGGGTTGGGGTGAAGAGGACTGGTTATGAAAGGATATTAGGAACGTTTGGCGATGAAAGAATAAATGAGAATGGTGAAGACCTGCTCACCGTATGTGTGGAAAAGAATCTTTTTGTGGCGAACACTTTCTTTCGCCATAAGAGGATTCACCTTGTTCAATTTATGTTGGGAACTGAAGCGGGTACCGGAAGACTGGTGCAAAGCCGTTATAGTCCCAATATATAAGGGAAAGGGGTCGCTGCAGGACTGTAAAAACTACCGTGGTATCAACTTGCTTAGCATTGTGGGAAAACTGTATGCTAAGTTGTTAATTGAAAGAGTTATGGAAGTAACTGATGGAAAAATTTGGGATGTGCAAGCTGGATTTAGAAAGGGGATGGGGTGTACGGATCAAGTCTTTTTCATGCGCATGATAGCGGAGAAGTTTTTGGCCAAAAACCAGAAAGTTTTTTGTGCGTTCATGGACTTGGAAAGGACTTATGACAGAGTGGACAGGAATGTGTTATGGCAAACACTGAACTCATTTGGGTTGAGCGCTGGCTTGATACAGGCATTAAGGTCTCTTTATAGGGACCTAGAGTCCCTGTCAGGTGCTTGTGTCAGGATCAACGGGGTCTACTCGGACTGGTTTAGCATTCATAAAGGTGTCAGACAGGGATGTGTGGCTTCCCCGTGGCTGTTTAACCGATTTATGGACAGTTGTTTGCAAACTTTGAAAGTTGAAGAATGTGGGTTGAGAATGGGTGAGTCAACCGTCAAATGCCTTTTGTACGCCGATGATCAAGTCATATTTGCATCGTCGGCGGCCGAGTTGCAAATGATGGTTACTTAAATGAATTGGTCATTGAAAGAAAGGGGTATGAAAGTGAACGCAAGTAAGACGAAAGTGATGGTTTTTTAAAGAGAAGAAAGTAAAACTTTATGTGAAATAAGAATAGAAGGGGAGTTGATTGAGCAAGTGGATGAGTTTTTATATTTGGGATGTTTATTTAGCAGGGATGGTAGATATGATAAGGATATAGAACGACGAGTGAACGCAGGAAATAGAGTGAATGGGGCTCTACACGCTATTATGAGGAGTCAGAATGTGTCAACTAAGGCACGTATGGCAATTCATAATGCTGTGTTAGTCTCTACTTTAATGTATGGTAGTGAAAGTTGGGTCTGGCAGAAGAAGCATGAGAGTAGAATAAATGCTGTAGAAATGCGTTCTTTAAGGAGTATGCTAGGGCTGAATCTGAATGACAGGGTGAGAAATAGTGTGATAAGAGAAAAGTGTGGTTTGCAAGATGACGTTGTGACAAGGATTAAGAAAGGAATGCTTCGGTGGTTTGGTCATGTAGAAAGAATGAACGAGGAAAGAGTGACAAAGCAAATTTATGTTTCAGAAGTGAACGGCAGGGTCGGGAAGGGACGCCCTAGACGAAGGTTTATCGACCAAATCGGCGATACATTAAAAATGGGCCAGATTAGGAGTACCCTTAACCGACGAGCGTGTATGCGTAGATATATGGATGTAAAACAGGCGAGAGAGGTGTGTCAGGATCGCGCCAAATGGAAGTCCGTAGTCTCTGCCTACCCCTCTGGGTGACAGGCGTGAGTGTTTATGTATGTATGTATGTATGTATGTATGTATTAACAAGGTGAAATGTCAGATGTTACACATCATTTGCGACTGCTGTTAAGGCTCACTCGTTTTTTATTTTATTTTCATGTCACTGTTTATCAGGAAATCTATTTTTGTGCTCCTCTATATAACGTATAAAATTAAAAGTAAAGCAATATCTTATTTATATAAATCCCAAAGATGTATACAGACTTCGTCTTATTTCTGAAAGTTTTGAGAGTCTGCTATGCTACCACAATGCCTGTTGGCAGACTTGTGAAGTCCTCTAAATATTTACAGTATCTCAGAAGTGCAGGTTTGTGTTGCTCACGGACGTGTTGAATTGCCGTACCATCGGACCATGAGGGCGAGGTATTAGAAAGTGTATCTGTGCTTGGACGCTCGTGAATTTTTCTTTTTTATAATACTGTCGAATGTCGATCTGCAGGACATTATTATTCTATTAATATGAAATTTACGAGGGGAGGAAAATTTAAATAAAAACACCACATTAACATATTTTTATTTTTAATAACCTTTATTTACAATCGATTATATTTTTGTTAAAAAACCATTTCGAGTTTATTGTCAAATAAACATGTTTGTTCCGGATTTCATGATATGTTTTTAAAAACAGTCTCTTTAGCGATATTTTCATTAAACGTTTACATATATACAAAATATACATAAAATGTTTAATTTCGTTTTCCTTATCGTAAAATAAGTAAAATATCACATTGAAAAATTCACAAATTTGTATGTACAGGAGTGAGTCTGTAAATTATACCTAGGTAGAAGTCAAAATTATAGTTATTTGATACATTGTGAACATTTACATGTAACAAAATTTCCTTTAGGTATATTTAAATGTAATTATGTATATACGGATTAATTTAACGGTCTAGCTTAAATAAAATTGTACCAGACTTAACTTTAATTAATTTTAATAAGTACGTTTTTTGCAAATTTACTTTCGGTGGAACATGACTCTTCACTACTAAAATAAGTTACATTTAACTGCAGTAAATATAACAATATTAGCATACATCATATTTCTTATGTCACCATCATAAATTTTACTGTCATATAAAGTAATAATAATGTAGATTTAAATGAACTAGCGGAAAACTAGTCACATTTAAGTTGTACTTTATTCCTACTTATATTAATATTACCCTAAAGTCTAATCGTAATTTACTATTTAACATCACATTAAAACTAAGTTAAATTAATTGAGCGTTTAAGTTGAAGTCGCTAGCATTCCTTCGCTTTACCATTAACAATAGTTTGACTCGATTTGATTTCATTTTTTTCTACTCCATTGTTGTTGTTGGTCTCAATCATGACATAGCTTCGGTAATAGAAATTACCAAACATGTACAAGAAGAGTGCGGCGTTGAGGGCCAGTAAAAAGTTGATGAACTTAGGGTAGTTGCAGTCACAGAACATCACACTGAAGTTGTGATAGAACACGATGACGAACTGGACCTGTTATGATAAAATTTAGCTGATATTAATATTGCCAAAAAATCCAGAGCCAGACCAGTTAACTTCGCAAATAGCTTTTTTTTTGAAGTTAATACTTCTATTGGGGCCTTTGGGAAAAATTGTGAGAGTGATTTTTTTACGATGCGCGCGCACACCGACAGCTGAAAACGACACCATGAAGTTGTTACGATGAGCGCGCCTCAAAGCAACAACTTCATTGGGTAATTGTCGCTCAAGTTTTCGTGGGAACTGATAACTATATTTAAGGTTTTTTGTTACGCTAAAGAAGTATAACTTCCTAATTGTGTACTTACATAAGTACACACACATGTTTTTTTTAAATAAAAATGAAGTACATACGAACATACAGTCCACCTGGTGGAATGTGGTCACTGCAGTCCATGGACGCCTGTGGCCAATATCAAACAAAGAAGACTACAGGTGCGTTGTCACCTTTGACGACTGAGTTGGAATGCCTCGCAGCTTGTAGTTATTTGACTGGCTTACTATATATTCGATTCTATTCTATAGTATTTGGCGTTTGAAATATTTAAGAGGGTGGTACTTAAACTGACGGATTCCTACGCAAAACAAGAATGCTACCAAATAAAACACTAATAATTTTTAGTAAAACATTAATTATTTTGGAGGAATGTTTAAATTTATGACTTTTTATTCTTTTTATTTACATTTCTTTTGTAGAATAAGGTTGATAAACGAGCACACAGTCCATCTGATGGTAAGTGAATGCTGTGGCCATTAGACATTTAAATTTATGTTCAATTGAGAATCAAAATGCAGATACGTTGTCAACCCCGAGGACTAAGATGGAATGTCTCATTTCCAGTAAAAAGGGTATCCGATTCTCTACTTTTACATACGAAACAGAGCAGCAATAAGCTGCTATTTTACGCTGGTATTCTGTGGAGCGTGGTCCCACGCCGGTTGAGTCGACCCATTCATGCAACAACCACAATATAGCTGCACCACGTATAAATTATTTATAATTATAGGAAGAAAATATTGTTCCGAAAGAGTATCAAAATTTAAATTATATATATTTTAATTATAGTAGTATAAAATACAATCGTCTGTTTTTGATATTCATCAGATTATAAAGGATGTATGTCTCAAAGTGAATAAGGTTTTTTGTTGCTAGACCAATGAGCTTTCATTTTATAAGTATTTCAGCAGTTGTGTTAGAAATCAGGCTAGCTTCATCATCATCATCATCATTACAGCCTTTCATAAGTCCACTGCTGAAAATAGGCCTCCTCCAAGGAGCTAGCTTATTTTTCCCAAATTATCAAATTTTAAAATCATTTTGAAATAAACAACAACTTAAGTTACTCACAAGCTGCATGCTGGTAAGGTGTTTTTTCCACCACAGATATTTTTGATACTGTGGACCAAGGCCTGAGATCAGATAGTAAGTGTACATGACCACGTGGATGAAGGAGTTGATCACGCCCAAGAGAGTCCCGTGACCACCTTAAAAAGTCAATGATTATTATAGAAACACTAAGAAACGAAATATTTATTGAACATTTTACTTTCTTTACGGTTACTTTTTTATTTTCAATACAATCGCAGAACTTACTTATTTTTAATTCATAGTGTGATGGCCTATTATTATTGTTAATAAGTAATAATTAAATTCAATACATAAATATTTAAAAATATGATAGATATTTTATTTTGAACAATTTAAATGCATAAGCGTAAAGTTCAAATACATTAATTTGGAACATTAAGTATTATAGTATAGTAAAGTTTTAATATTGTCTTCAAAAAGCTTTAAATTTAAACTGCTTAAAATATTCAAAATGTGTAAAATAATAGAAATACAAGTCGATTATGTTTCAATAATAAAGAGAAATAACATTTGTAATATAATTGGAAAATGGGTCAAAAATTAATGAGCGTGTTCTTGCAATGATGCAGGCTGTTCTTGTATTACTGCCGGGCTATTCACAATCGTCTCGGAAAGCGAAATCGACTCGGATTCGATAACTTCTCGCACCGAAACCAATAAACGCTATTCATATTTAACGTTCGGATAAAGGTCACTTAGATACATCCTATAAGTATTGTATCGTCATTTAGTTACATGCATTTACGAATTTTGTAGATAAATAGGCTTTTGTATTTTTTTAGAGTAACGCCTGAACAAAAACATAATGCAATATTTTGGAGTTAGCCATTGATATCAAATATAAAAAATATATAATTTAACTATATAATAAATAACAAAAAACTGAGATATGTCTCGTTTCTGTCGGGTCTGGGTTTTTTTCTATGGGGCGTGACCGTATTTCTTTGACATTTGTTTTCGATAATTGTGACAGTTTGCATCGGAAACTTCACGAGAGCTCTGAGGCTGGCAAAAACTTTTCGAATATTGATGATTAGAAGAGATAAATAAACCCTTTTAATTATAAGGTAGTTAACAAAAATTAATTACAATTATCTATAAGACGTATTTTCATATAATTACTTCAATATTTGCACTTAATCGTAAAGCTGAATTTTTGTGAAAGGTGTGTTTTTATAAGTTTTCTATCACAAAGCAGCATATATATATGCTGCTTTGTGAAACGAGACATATCTCAGTTTTTTTATTATTTATTATTTGGTTAAATTATATATTTTTTATATTCGATATCAATGGCTAACACCAAAATATTGCATTATGTTTTTGTTCAGGCGTTACTCTAAAAAATACAAAAGCCTATTTATCTACAAAATTCGTAAATGCATGTAACTAAATGACGATACAATAGTTATGGGATGTATCTAAGTGACCTTAATCCGAACGTTAAATGTGAATAGCGTTTATAGGTTTCGGTGCGAGAAATTATCGAATCCGAGTCGATTTCGCTTTCCGAGACGATTGTGAATAGCCCGGCAGGAGGGATAATTATCTGCTTATATTACAGAGTTGCCGGAGACGCATACCCAAGGTTGACATATAAATGGTGTAGTCGGATGCCTGACTTCTATTATTTTATTTTATTTTATTTTACAGTACTTTTACTGTTGCACAATATATAGCCCTATATTAGAGACTTATAACAGTAAGGTCTATGATACAAAAGCATTAATATAGAATAGAATAATTTTTTATTCAATATACATTACATGTGTAATTCTTATTGAAAGTCATTTTTTACTTTACCACTGGTTCGAAAAAAAACCCTCCGTCCTGGGAAGAACCAGCAAGAAACCCAGCGGGACTTGTTTTAAAATTAAATTTACAAGGTCTCTATGTTGCATAAGCATAATAGCAGAGTTGTGGTTTGAAGTCCCATATGTAGAAGACACATGTTCAGTAATAAACCGCAACTCACAAAATTTATACCGAGGCACAATGATCTGCTACGATCGGAGCGCCGGTCACACCTAGTGGCAACATTGCGACGTAATATGCGTTGTAATAATCTGTGAAGTTAAAAAAAAGAGAAGAGGAGGGTAGGAGGCGAGACAAGCCATACACATTCTCTTTGTGTTCGTGATGTGAACATCTCTCCAAAAACTTAAAAAAAGGGACTACTCCAGAGTGTACCGTGTACAATCTAATTGCTAGTGTATTCTACCGTGTAGAAGAAGCTACCAGGAGCTGTCAACGTTTGCTGATCTTGGGAGGCTGGCTAGTAAGACCGTGAGTAGTTTGTTGCTGTTTTTGGTGTGATTTTGTGACTGCGGTAACTGAACGTTTCAGGGGATTTAGATTCTCAATACAGTCCACTATATCTAGTAAAATAATCCCAATCCGCCACATTTCTGGCCTTCGAGCCGCATATATTCGAATTAGTGATCTTCGAATAATAATTTTCTACCCTTAATTCGCGTCCCGTGGACGTCATATATTTGAGTAAAACTACGCATTTAATTAATTTAATATCCCTTATTTAATTTGCCTCTTTTTTACCTGGATGTCCATTGCTCGCGGTGCGTTTATAAAGTATTAATTTTGTAATTTGTTCATAATGTCGGATAAATTACAAATAAAAAGGCAAACACTTATTTTTAAAAAGGAATACCTATTTGCTAAATTACAAAAGGTTTTCGATATCGCGAGATCCCAAATAAATGATCCCACACAAATTCAGAATTTCTTAGCCGATTATTCCGAATTAGAAAGTGTCCGCTCAAAGTTTGAAGAAACAGTGTTAAATATTATTGAAATAGATATATCATTAAAACCGGAGACAAGATTGTCAACGCGAGAATTAGATACATTTGATGAACTTTATAAGGCATGTAGGTTGCAATATTTAAGATTAAAACCGGACGAGCAGGCATCCCTCAGTAGGAAAGATAGGAGTGATGTAAGGCCGTCATTACCTAAATTACGTTTATTTGAATTCGATGGTGATATTGAGAAGTGGACCACATTCTACGATACATTTGTATCACTTGTCCACAATCGAGATTTCGACGAAATAGATAAGTTTCACTATTTGCTTTCATGTGTTAAAGGTTCGGCATTAAACATTGTTAAAAAATTGCCCATAACAGCCGCTAATTATACTGTCGTATGGCAAAGTTTATGTAATAAATATCAAGATGATCGAATACTCGTGGGTAGGTACATCGATAAAATGATAAACTTTACGCCGTTAAATAAAGATACTACCGCAAATCTTACTTTATTTATCGAAACATTCGATCACTCTTTTAAAGCCATCGAGGCATTAAAAATTAAAAATTTACATGACTATTTATTTTGTCATTTAGCCTTACGTGGGTTGGATGCGCATACTAGGAGGCTTTTTGAAGAAAATCGGGATCAAAATTCACTTCCATCTTTTTCGGAATTAATTAGTTTTGTAAATAAACAAGTTAAAGTACTCGAACATTCATCGAATAGTACGATGTCGTTACAATCAAGAAATAAGTCTATATGTAACAATTACAAAGGCAACAATAATAACCACTACAAAAGTTATTCAAAGACAGTTTTAAATACTAATGTGTCGAATTATAATAAAAATAAAAAAATAATTTGCGCGCATTGCAATCAAAATCACATGATTTATAGGTGCGATCAATTTCGTAAATTGACCGTAGATAAAAGGATTGACCGTGTCAATACCTTAAAATTGTGTCATAATTGCCTAAAAGGAAATCATGATACCTCAACTTGTAAAAGTGAGATGTCTTGTGGTGTATGTGCGTCACTACATCATTATCTATTGCATAGGGAGCCAGTGAGCGACACGCTCGTGCCAACATCCACCCGTCCATTGTGCTCTGACTCGCAAGTGCAACAAGCACTCGTCTCGTCTCAGGCTATGAGTGACTCAGAGCGTTATACGATAGATACGCTTCATTCCAATAACGCTCACTCGGGTTACGGTGTTGTATTGGGAACGGCGCGCGTGTTAGTAATTGATAGTAGCGGCCAGCTTCAATACTGCCGTGCAGTTATTGACTCTGGAGCTCAGAGCTCATTTATTACAACTGAGTGTGCTCAACGTTTGGGCTTACCTCGAAAGAAGTGTTCGTTTAATATTTATGGTCTCGGTGGAGAGGCTGTAAAAAATCACGGCATGATTACATGCACATTAAGGTCCCTACACACTGACCTACCTAGTTTTACACTGAACATGGTCGTAGTGACTAAGGTATCTGCTGATATGCCTAACGTTCGATTCCACTCGGACGTTATTAATAAATATAAGAATTTTAATTTAGCTGATCCATTATTTTATAAGCGTTCGCGTATCGATATACTATTGGGCAATGATATAGTTTCGGAACTAATTAAGGATAAACCTTATATTATTTCATCGGATATACCAAGCGTGATCGATACCGCTTTCGGGTTTGTTGTAAGTGGTAAACTTTATAGCAATGATAAGGACAATTTAAAAAATTATAATTTATCAGTCTCATTTGATGAACAAGAGTCTTTAGATCAAACGTTGCGTAAGTTTTGGGAAATCGAAGAATTGCCAAGCAAACCCTCGATTAATCCTTTGGAACAATTAGCGGAAGACATTTTCGTGGCTCGTTATAGTCGTACTGAGGATGGTACCTATTCAGTGCCGTTACCATTCATACCAGACCCGCCTCCGTTGGGCGCGTCACGAGCGGCAGCCGAGCGGCGACTCTTGTTCACCGAGCGCAAGTTGAATCGTTCACCTGTATTACGACAAGCCTATTCAGAGTTCATGTGCGAATATGAAAATCTAGGGCACATGGAGCTTTATTCGGGGGACACCCCGAGCAAATATGTGATACCTCATCACAGTATACTTAAGCCCAGTAGTTCCACTACTCCTTTGCGTGTGGTATTCGATGCCTCGGCTAAAACGTCCACGAACGTTTCGCTTAATGATATTCTATTGACCGGGCCTAATCTGTATCGAGATATTGGGGCTATAATATTGAATTTTAGGTTGTTTGAATATTGTTTGATTTGTGACGTATGCAAAATGTATCGGGCAATTAAACTGAATCAGTCAGATAGATGTTATCAACAT